CCCTCCGAGATGTGCCCGCGGTCAGCAAACCTCAAGGTTAAGTATCATGACCTTCGGAGGAAAGATCAGAGAAAGGCTCAGCAGGCAAGGAAAGGTGGAGCTCATGGCCATAGTGAACAAAATTATAAAAGTGTGTTGGAAAAAGAACTAAAAATCTGAGTTTGAAAGAAGTCATAGTATGTGTCTAATGAAACACTGAAAACTAATAGAAAGAGGGGAAAGCCCCAGGGTTTGTACAGGAGGATACCAGCTTGAGAGGGTTGATTAGTCAAGATCTTTGAATTTCCAAGATATGGGATATAATGTCCTATTGCTTATAGAGAGGGTGATTTCTTTTTTGTTTTCTTTTCTTTTATTTTTATTTTTTGAAATATTTTATTTATTTTTTGAGAGAGAAGAGGGGAAGAGGAGGAGAAAGAGAGAGAGAAACATCAATGTGTGGTTGCCTCTCATGCGTCCCCTACTGGGGACCTGGACCACAACCCAGGCATGTGCCCTGACTGGAAATTGAAACTGCAACCTTTTGGCTTGCAGAACGGTGCTCAATCCACTGAGCCACACCAGCCAGAGCTAGAGAGGCTGATTTCCTCATCAGTGTTTGCAACAGGGCTAACACCTCATAAGCACTCAATAAACAGTTACTGAATAAATAAATGAATGAATAAGTGACCTATAACATTTAAACATTTATCCATGACCCACTGAAAATGACCTCTTATAGCACAGAAAATATGCCTGTGTAATAGGATCTGGGGTATGGGTGAAGCCCCAAGCCCTCGGGGCTATGGATCTTAAGCTTCATTCTCTGCTTCTATTTGTTAGTATCCAGAGCTTGCATGTTGATCATTTGAGAGAGGGCTTATTTATTGACTTTCTTGAAGTGTTAATAAAAAGTGTATCCATTTTCTCTAAATGTAGGTTCAATGACACTCTAACCTAAAAGAGCAGGACAAGAAAAAGCATCAGTGATGTTGGTTTGAGGAGTGAGGTTGATGGAATACAGTCAACGCCCACAGCATTGGGCAGATGCACCTCCCTGACCCCCAGAGCCACCAGTAGCTGCAGGCCTTCCCCACCAACCTGGCAGGTTCAGCGTGAACATCCTCACCTAGGTTGCCCCTTCTCTGTAAGCAGATTACAGGGAGGGAAAAGCCTGGAAGACACAGAGCCTGATGTGCCTGTACCCATCAGATGGGCGAGTAGGCCACAGTGACGGAGGAGACAGACAGCAGAAGCTGGAAGCATAGTTTCTCTCCCGGGGACTGGAGAGGAAAGTGCCTTCCTTTGTGGCAGCATGAGGTGCAGAGAGTGATTTTCTCTCTGAACGGTTATTTCAACATGAGCGTGCGTCAGGAAATATATTGGCCTATATATGCCCTAGAAATCCAGTATGTTGGCATTTTCACTTGCCTCACGTCCTCCTGCTTCAAGGCTTTAAAATCTTCAGTGTCTGGATTGTGTCCAAGTCAGATGTTGACATTTTCTTACTAACTAGACAGCACTTGACCTTTGCGCATGGTGAAGCAATGCCCAATGTGGCTCCTTGCTGCTTCTGAAAAAGCAAGGGCTGCTTTCTCTGTAGATACTACTTTTTGGAAAGCTATAGATATTAGGATGCCTTGGATGTTTTCAAAGTTTAAGGCAAAATGAAAATCACTCTTTTCCAAAGAGCAGGGGTTAGAGTCAACCAAAAGCTTGCTGATGTCAGCAGTGGTGTGGTTACCACACCTGCTCTTTACCCAGCAGCAAAGAGCTTGAACAGTGGAGGATGAAATCACCTGAGCAGTAATTTATGAGCACACCATCTCTCTCTCTCTCTTTCTCTCTCTTTCACACACACACACACACACAGTCTGTAACAGCAGCTTTTAGGATAAAACCTAGACTGTGCAGGAGAGATACTGGAGGGGACCGAGAATTGTTTTATGACACTTCTTCTACTGTCCTAACAATAATGTTGTTTTAACTATATCATAATGGGTGGTTGCAAAAATGGATTCATCATGTCACATGTCACACCACTATAAGCTATGATTTCTAGATCAATGACAGAATGTTTTGGGGATTTGCACAAATAAAATGCATGCAATTTATAAGTGCATCAGAGTCTCCACCAAGGTAGACCAAAATATCTTAATAAAATGTACCTTTTTTGCCTTGACTTCTGTTTAATGAAGAGCATCTGTATCCTTCATTGGCTGATTTTAAATTTTAGTGACTTGTTTACTTAGAGAAATTTCACAATAATGTAATTTAATGATGCCTACAGTACAGATCAAGTGATTCAGCTTTACTACTTTCTTTTTAGTATGTTATGTCTTCTGCCTAGAATATGCTTCACACTCAGACTGTCAAAAGTAGGAAACAGACCCTTCAGATTACCTTGGGAAAACCTTTCATTTATAGATGAGGAAACTGTGTTTATAATAAAGTCAGGATTAGGAAAGAGTTTTCAATGCCCACTCCTTGTTCTGTCTTCTGCCCGTCCTTTAAGACCCAGTACGAGCTTCACCTCCTTCACGCAGTCGTCCTTGACCTCTGATGATGTATCGCTTTCATGAACCCCTGCTCATGGTCAATACTGCACTATTTATCCTTTGGTTAAAAATTCTCCTCACTCCCAGTATTACATCTTACTCTTGTATCTCTAAGAAGTATTAGCTGAAGGACAAAATTCATGTTTTATGATTCTCTTGACTGGAACACCACAGCACTTAGCAAAGTCATGTACACCACCTTATCGTCTAGTATAGTTGTCCCTTTTTAAACGAAGTCTGTGCTTTGCTCTTGTCACTTCAAATCTTTAGTAGCCTAAATTTTCATATACTTGACTTTTTCAACCATAGACTTAGTATATGTGTGTATATAGTATACAGTCACACACTCACACACACACAGACACATCCTTGACACACACTGTATCTGGAAAATAGTATGCAATCAATGTGGTTTTTTGAGAGAGAGTTCATCCTTGATCAGGAAAGGTACACAGTTACACAGAGGAAGTAGGATTTGAATTGAGCATTGAAGAAAACATATTGATTAACATGAAAAGAGGAGGGAAAATTATATTTGAGACAAAGAGTATGCTGTGTTTTGATCCCAAATTGGGCCCTTATTCTTTGTTTAACCTTAGGCAATTTGCCTCAGCTGTCTGAGCCTCCGCTCCCCCATCTGCTGAACTAGGAGACTATCATATGTTGCATAACGTTGTTGTGAGAATAACAGAGATAAATTACACAGCAGAAGTCAATAATAGTCGTTATTAACAACAACAAAAGTCAATTATAATTTGCTGAATAAGGAAGCCAGAAGTGCCAGTGAAGGCACAATGGGTAGCTCAGTTAGACTGGAGCAAAATGCTTCACAGAGGGACATGAGGAGAGATGAAAAAAGAGAGGAGGGGGGACAGACTCAGTCACCACTACTTGCCAATTACCTCAAGTTTTGGACTATTGACTGCATCACTAAATTCACTGTGAGGTGGAGTGAAGGCCAAGGACTATGAAGTGGCCCTTTCTCAGTAAAAAGCACAGGAGCTCTGAATCAGACAAAACATGGGTTGTAACCAGGATCTGGCAGTTCCTGAGGGGATAAACTCGAGGCGGTTTGATGTTGTAAGTATTACACAAGTAATATATACAAAGCACCTGCCGTAATGCTAGGCATGATGGTGGACACCACTAATCTTAGTTCTCTTCTGTGATGTACCCACATTACATCCCAACCCCGTACCTTTGTTTTCTGTCTCTCCTATTTCTATGCTTTTCTCTCTTTCTTCATAACCTGGTTTTTGCCTGCCTACCTATATACCTTGGACTTTCAATAAGTGTTTACCAAGAATAGTCCTATTTGAAAGCATTTATGGAGCATTTACTATAAATTAGATACTGTGCTAATGATACTAGATTCAAACACAGCTGCCTTAGTGACCCTTGGAAGTACGTCAAACTCATGTGCATGAATGAACCAGGTCTCCTCCAGGTAAGTCAATTTGCAAAGTGTATCAGCTTGAAGTTAGACAAAGTCATATTGTAGGCCAGACATGTTCACATTTCTTGTAGTTCCAAAAGTGTGTGTGGCAGCACAGCACAGAGGAGAACCAGAACATCTCCAATAGGAACCACTGAAATGGCAGGGAGCAACGGCGGACAACAATGTAGAAGCCAAAGTCAAAGTATAGCCAGGCCTATCCCTTTGACCCAAGAATCCCATTTCTGACCATTTAGCCTGAAGAAATAATTATGGATATGCACAAAGATTCAGCTTAAAGATGCTCCTTGCAGGCTTGTTTACATAATACTACCAAAGGAAAACAAATCAATATATAACAATAAACTAATTCAGTTATGGTTTATCCATAGCAGCTATAAATAAATGATATCACAGAGGAATATTTATTACCATGGAAAGATGACCAAGTTATACTGTTAACTGACAAAACCAGGTTGTAAAGCAAATTACATCAGAGAACTTGTGTTTGTAAATATACATGAATAGAAAAAAAGAGTGGAAGGTTGCAGGATGTTAAAAATAATGGACACTGAGGTGAGATAGGATATTTACTTTTTATTTTTTGTTTTCCTGTTTCTAGTTTTAAAAGTTTACATGTACCAGTATTGTAACAAGAAACATACTGTAACATGTTATTTGTATACATGTGTACATAAATTGATTCAATAAATGCTAGTTACTAACAAATATAATATATAAATACAAATATATATATAGTCTGCACACATACACAAACATACAAAGGTTTTGTGGGTGGAGACAAATGATGGATGGATGAATGGATGAAAGCGGATGGTAGATTAGATAGATGATGGATGGATGGATCACAGATAGATGATTGATAGATAGATAGATAGACCGTCTCCAGATCCAGGAGCACTCAGAGCAAGCTGTCCATTTGACAGTGTTTAATGAGCCCCACGCGGTGTCATCAGATGCAGGTTAAGGAAAACCAGTTGTGCCTGAGCCTGTCCTTTCCCGAACAGGTCGACGCCCACGGCAACATTCTCCTTAGCACCCTGGAAATCAGGAACGAGACGAGCGGCTCGGAAGTGCTCACAGGCGTGAGCGACCCCAAGACCACCATGTACTCGTATGACAGCGCCAGCATCCAGTACCGCAAGCCCATGAGCAGCCGCGAGGCCTACGGGCGCGCGCTCGAGCGGCACGGCGCGCACAACAAGGGGCGCATCCGCCGGCGCGCCTCGCAGCTCAAGGTCAAGATCCCCGACTTGACTGATGTGAATTCCATAGACAAGTGGTCCCGAATGTTTTTCCCCATCACCTTTTCTCTTTTCAACGTCGTTTATTGGCTTTACTATGTACACTAAGGTCTGTCCGAATGGTTCAGAAACGGCTACTTTCCTCTTCTCTTGACTTTTAACCCCACAGGTCCCCAGCAGCGATACTGCTGTGCTTTTTGAGGTAAGAGATTCAGCCATCTAATTGGTTTTAGGTCTTGCATATCAATTTTATTACCGCACCATGTTTACTTCAAAAAAAAAAAAACCTATTTTTTTCCCAGTCTACAGTGGTCCAGGTTATCAGCTCTTTCAGAGCTCTATTAATTGCCATGTTTACAAACACACACACACACACAGAAGTTAGATAGGTAGCTCTTGAGCAGTGCTTCCTAGTTGCCCCGGATTGTATTAATTTTGTTGTTAGTAAAGAATGAAAAGAGGACTTAGCTCTCTGTTCAAACTGCTTCCTGGTAAACTGTAACAATCTCATACTGCCAAAAAACAACTCAATTTCCAGGATCTCAGAAGGAAAAAAAAAAAAGCCATTGACAAGTTACAGATTTCCAGGAAGAAAAGAAAACAGAAAGGAGCCTAGAAGAGGAAGGAAGACTCCCCTCCACTCCCAAGTGCCCCCAGTTCTGGAAAGCAGAAGGGGTCTCGGGTCCGTGGAGGAGGAGGGAGGGATTGGCAAGGGCTGGTGGAGGTTATGCAAACCCAATCTGCCAGCTTCACCTCTCCATTAAACCGAATATTTGGAAGAATACTTCTTTCTCAGAATTCCAGGCTGATTTAAAGTTCACGTTAAAATCCAACCCGATAACCATGGAGGACATTTTTCTTTTCTTCTTGAGGATAAGAGTATGGGGATTGATGACTTTTTTTCTTTGAACTATTTCAAACGAGCAGCCCTGATCTCATTCATTAGCCTGGAATCACTTGACACTGTGCCATGAAACAATGTCCTCATGTTTCCCTCGTCCCTGCTCTAGAGAGTGTAAGAGGAAGGGGGATAGGAGGAGAGGGCTTCAAAGATGGGGATCACGAGCAATTTTTGCTTGAGAAAAATATTGCCCTTTCCAGGAGGAAGGCGAGACTTACGTGCTGTGAAAAGGGTGCCTGGGCAGTTACCTGAACTGCCAAATCTTCAATCAAATAGTATATATTTCTTAGCCTTCCAGAGAGCAGTGTCTAAAGGTGATCGGCTAGCTGGCCGGGTCTCAGCTAGCACCTTAGGGCTCTGCTCTCTGAGCTCTGCATTCCACACTATGAAGTGGTTGTTTCGGGAAATGAACGCACACCGGTTTCGGTGTCATACTTCTCTGAGGCCAGAGCTTTATTTTAAAGGAAATCTGAAAAGAGCAAAGCCAGAGATAACAGCCACTATGACAAACTCACTGGGCCTTTAAACATTCATACCAGCCCCTAAAGTAAAGACCCTGTCTACACTCATGAATCACCATCATCATTGTGCTGCCTTATCTCTGTCCACAGATCACTCTGGTCATCGTCAGAGAAGGGCCATCTCTCAGTCGCCCAAAACACAATTCTAAATATGTCTAACCAGTTGCAGATGAGGTCCGTCCCATTTTATGTCATTAAAGCCCCATTGCTTTGTTTGTGTGTTTGCTTTAGCTTGAGCGTTAAAGAATTCTACATGTTCATTTGCAAAGTTGAGTGAAACCCTAAGTTGACCAACCAGTTATGGAGGCAATTGGGACCTACTTCTTGGATATAAGATAGGGTTGAGGTAATAATAGGGATGCTCTGGCTTTCTCCCTAAGGCTATGATCAGGGTCCATGTTTACAATCACATCAGCTACTAGAAATTGTAGCTTTAATTGAAAGATAAGGCTGAATTCCTACTGATGAGGCCAAGTAGAGAGAAAGTGATAAGATATTCTTTTAGAAAGCAAGAAGATTATCCCAGAATATAATGAATGGTTAAGGCTAACAGATAATACATATTAGTAAAAATATAAAAACTCTTCTTTACCTGGGAAAACTATCCAATGTTTTCATAAGAGATTAATAGAAATGATTTAATAAGAAAAACCTAATTTTCATTTAGGTTTTGATTGCACAATCACAGTTCCCTGGTTGAGGAAATCTTTAGCTCCTGGGGATGAAGTAACCCATTTTGAAACTGAGTAGTTCCTTGGCAGGGTGAGTCACTGTGCCCTTGTAAAATGCCCAAATGGGGTGGAAAGTGAGCATACCAATGTTCCCAAAGACCACCCAGGAACCACTGTGTAGCCATCTATTTTCAACACAGAAAGGGAGACGTTTGGCTAATGCTTAACAGAAATGAATCATTCTGATGTCAAAACACTTTAAAAAGCTTTTAAGGATGAAATGCTACATCAGATAGAAAGTATCCGTACTCTGTGTTCCTTAACAAAACATTTTTCTTTATTTATCTGTTTAGATCATTCTTCTTGGAAAAGATTGAGGTAATTCAAATTTTCTTATTATTTGTATCTTGCCTTAAAAGTCTAAAGAATTTTATGCTTGTAATTTAGATGTATCTTTAAGGGAGAAAGAGAACATTTGGAATTCTTCTATCTTAACCTTTGTAAAATGTAAAATTTATAAGCCTGAGTATTCCATCAGGCGCAAAATGGTGTCACTGTATGCCCTCCTGGACGGTACAGGGGTGACAACCACCACCCTGCAACCCTGTTAAATAGCTCTGACTTAAGAGGTGATGGCAGCCAGAAAGCCTGAGAAGCCGCCGTGTTTCTGGTGAATGCTCCCTAATCCCCACTTCTTTCTTCTGGATGCCTCCTAAGCAAATTCTCCCTGCTTTGGACCCCACCCACTTTTCTTCCAGGCTGAAAAATGAATGGGAAAAAAACCCTTCCTCTCTCCCTCTCTCCCTTGTTTTATCCGAAATGATGTACATAAAACATGAAAGCTGTTAGACATTCTTAAGCACCCTTGAACCAGCCCTTATTCCTGGAAGATTCAGATCAAGACATAATAGAGATTTACTGTTTAACTATTTGGTTATTTTCTTTCTGCCATGAAAATAGCCATAATCTCCTTCATCACTGAAGTGGCAGCAGAGGCTGACAACTGCATGGACTCTCTTATGCTATAGGCACGTCCAGGGGACTCCAAGTTCACAGTTCTGAAACTGTGACCTATCTTGTGTCATGAACTTCACCTGTGAGATCCAACGTAAACCCCATCTTTCACTTGACAGCGAGGACTACACACTCATTTCTCCCACTCATGTTCTTTGGCTTAAAATATCAGGGGTGATGTGTGTATTACACTTATCAGCTTTGTAAAGCAAAGACCCAGGTAAAGACATTTTTTTGGCTTGAATTACCCAAGATTATTGCCTCCTCTATATTGCCAAATAGAAACAGCAGACTGGTTGGTAATTCTGCTGACTAAGTGTTACGTGTTTTCATACATACCATCTTTATTGTGTATTACAATCAATGAAGGATCTTGAAAGTGCCAAGAGAAAAATGTGGTGCAGAGAATAAAGCTTGGTTTACGGATCCAAGATAGGTTTTCCTCCTAAAATCAATGACTACTTTATAAATAATTCATTTAAAAAAGGAGCTCGGTTAAAATTTGCCGTGTTAAACAAAGAAAAAGGTATTTATAATGCTAAAAGGAAATGATCTCCAAGATTTCTTGTATGGACAATTTTGAATAGTATCTTACCAAAGGGTGATATGCCACAATTTTTTCTCCTAAACAAAGTGTAACCATATATCCCAGAAGGAAGAAAAGGGTATGTGCAAGCAAGCATTTGTTCATGCTGGTCCAATCAGCAGTTACTGGGATGGGGAGGACAGATATACAAAACTATCTCAGTTTCTAAAAGCAAACAAGTAGACACAAAGGTAAATTCGGTAACGGGATGTAGAATATCATGTAAACTTCCTTGTAAATTCTGTACATATTTCATTGAACTGTTCCCTGTTGAGTGGTGGTCCTCAGCTTTGGGTGGACATTTGAAATATCTGAGCATTGTAAATAATGTAAGCTTCTAAGGCACTTGCTTTTATTCCTGAAGTGAAATGACTAGTGATTTGGGCCCAGTCCAGAATCTGTTGAGCTCTTGCTCTCTCTCTCTGCCATCTTCTGCGTCCACTTGTGTGACTCCGCCAGGTGTCTGTGATCACGGCCTCACGCCCCAGCCCCACCGGCAGGGACAGGAACTGCCGAGGAGGCTGCAGGCCCCCGGGGCTCGGGAACAGCACACCAGCAGAGACAGAAACGGTAGCGAGCCGCTCTTGGAAATGTGCCCTGAAAAGTGGACGTGTTTTTATGTCATTTGTGGCTATTTATATATTCGGATACCAAATTATCTGTGCTTTACGGGGGGTAAGGAATGGAAGAGATGGTCAAAATCCACAGGTAATCCAAAGCTTCATTTGCACCAATGGCTTTAGCTTCTAATTTTTTTCCTTCCACAATGTTTCCCAGAACTTTTAACAAGAATAGAAGTGGATGTTTGGGTTCGATCAGGGTCAAATGTCCAAATAATGGGGAGGAGAAAAGGAAGAGATAGCAAATGACATTGATAACACCAGATGGCTGATTCATTTCTGAAAGATCCAGAGGTAACCATGTCACTCTTTTTAAAGCTAAAGAGAAATACTGGGAATTAAAACAAGTGTTTTTCAATTGGGGGCCCAAGGTATGTTTGATACATGCTAGTTAAAAGAGAATTTGATAATTAAATATTCTCAAATATATTTCTCCCAAATCCTGGTATTCCTGAAAAAAATCAAAATGGTGGGATATTATGCCATAAGATGTGTTTCCATGCAGCCTGGCAGCCCCAGAGAGGGTGATAGTATCCACAGAAATTCATAATATCCAAGCAAGCAGGGTCTTAGATTGGTTGTTTCTTAGTCACATCTCAGAGTGCCCAAAGCCTTTCTTAGAGGTAAGAACTTGGCAAGACAGAGCTTTTTGTGCCAGCATTTTAAACGCCAGGAGGGTGCATGGAGCCATCACTGTGAGACATTTTGGTTCACAAATGTGCCAACTAGGATCCGCCATCCACTGAATCAGAAAAAATGCTCTGTTGAAACTAATCAATTTCTAGGTTGAAAATACATTATGCTTTTTTACTTTAATCTTGCTTTATCTAATTAACTGAAATCAACTACACCAAAAGAGAATTCATCGTTACTGGTTGCAGCTCAAAAGCAGACATTTGAAAGGGAATGCTTTTTTAATAGAAGAGTTGCAAACCAGAAAATACTAAGTTCCCGGGAGGGTAAGGGAAAGAGTTTGTAGTGTGTTTTTAGCTCTCCAGTAGCAAGAACTTCCTTATTCGAACTCAAGACATCTAAGAGTTGTTTTGTTTTTCCTAAGTAAAAACTCCTTGGTACATCAAGGGGCTCACAACCATCCCTGACTGGCCCCCAGATACCTCACGCATCCAACCAGCACTCATCACAAAGGCTTCAGTAGGGATGAACTGTGGGAAAAGTAGGTGTTGTATTTTTGACTGAGCTGGGGAAGAAAACCATTTCACTCAACAACTTTACCTGCATTTCCTCTGCAGAGAATAGAAAAAAATAAATCAATAAAAGACAGGCCAAATAACTTTATACATTTGCATTTGCCTTAGGTATACAGGGTCACAGATTCACTAGCTTAAAACACCCCCAGTAGGAAGCTGAAGAATAAATAGGAGGAAGCAGAATTGCTACCTGGCTCCTGCTTCTCCCTGGATTTCCTTTTAAAGAGAAATGGGGAAGGAGGGACACTCTCCAATATAATTTTTATAAGTGAAACTTATTAAAATATGATATGTGTGTGCATTTTGTGGGGTTCACTGTACAAAATAGATTACCTCTCTTATGTTCGTTCCTTCCAGCATTATACAACCATCCTGCCTCATGTCTTAACCCAATGAAATTGATTCATTTACTGTATTTCTCAGACTATAAGACATACTCCCCCCCCCCAAATTTTGGAAGAATAATGGTTGTTAATACTGCTGTTGAGTTCTGTTTACATTTACATTGGTGAAATATTATGTTATTTATGCTATTAAATATTTTACCACATTTTTTGCTTCAAAATTTTCTTTCCTATTTTCCTCCTCTGAAACCTATGTGTGTCTTATGGTCTGAAAAATACGGTACTTGTCTTCTCATTTCAAATCTCATAAGCCATTTGTCCATGAATATCTGAAAGCTTCAGCTTTTGTGAACTTATATTGCTAATCTTCAGTTGAATCTGAAAAAAATAATAAATTTTAATAATGTTCTCAAATTCCTACTCTGAATGTCTTTAAAAAGTAGCTTGTAGCCCCCTCTGAACTGCTTTGGGTTACTTTTCTGCTTTTCCATCCCTTATTTGAAAAGCACATGTGTTTACATAAACCTTCTCTTTCCCAGCATAATTCAAAATAACATGGAAATAAAAATTATTAGCTCAAGCCTAGGAAAACCTATATTATCTAAACCAATGCTTGATAATACCATCTCTTTACATTATGTAGTTGTAATATGGTCAACTCATACATCATCAATTCTTTTTCATCAAACCCATTTATTGACACCCTCCTTCAGCCTTAATTGTATGCCGTTTAAAAATCTATTATTAGTCCTCCCAGAATGGCTTATCATTCACTGAGCACACCACTTGTTACAGACTATCCTCTAGGAACTTGACCCACTCCATCTTTTCTGTGTCTTATTCTTATTGCAGATTCTCACCTCTAGAGATCACCTTACATAACCCCCCTTGACTTCCTAGCAGACATTAACAGATCATAATGTAAACTGTCTAAATCACCCCTATAAAATATATAGAATATTTTTCCTCTAGATAGCATTTCTATGCTTAGAGAACAGAGAGTTCTCCACACATATACCAAGCAATGCACAGCCGAACTTTAAACACGAACAATCAATGAGCCGCTTGGGAAGTTGGAAGAGAGAAGTTATAGTGGGAGAGACAACATCCTTGGAATTCAGAGCGTGTGACCTGGCCTTTACGCTGTCTCTACCACTGCCCAATGGTGTGACTCTGGGCATGCCATCAGAGGAGTTCCAATTCCCTCCCAGAACTAAATTTCAAAGGGTGTTTTGTTTTGTTTTCACTTAGGTAGGATCCCCAGAAAGATGGAGAAGTACCATGGCCTCTGCTAACACAACCCCAGAAATTTAGTGATGCTTCTTGTGGCATGTCTTTGGGACTAAGCCATCATCAGATTGTCAAGTGAATCCAAATCACTACTTTTTCATATTCCTTTAAAAAGTATATAGAACAAGAAGTTAAATTGGAAGGCAAGTGGCAAAAAAATTATTTTATGGCTTTAATAATAATCTACAGTACAATATTTCCCTCTAAGAGCATTAGAGAATCTCAGATAATGTGAATCAGTATGGTCTCTATTTGCAGCTCTCTCAAAGGTGTCACTTGGTCAGGAAAATCTAAGAAATGCCCCTCATGAGTGGACAAGCCAACTTCTAAGTAACACCCGAGCAGAACTGCAATCCCCTTCAGTGATCCTCCCCCGTCCTGGACCCAACCACGGTCTTGTGTCCTTTTTGCCTGATGATCCAGGTTTTGGTTAGTTCAAAAATGAGTGGGAAGCAGGAGGAAAGAAGGATTTTCACTCCCAACAGCTAGCTACTACGTATGCACAGTCTATCGTCTTATTCTTTTATCCTTCTCCTCCACCCTTCCCCCACCTGCCACACTAAAGCCCTTCAGTCCTCCCTCAAAGGAAAGTGCAGAAGGAACAGGTAGCACAGCAACTAATAGCCCACAGTGTGCCCCGATTCTTTTTGGATAACATCATTGTTAGGGACCATAGGACCCAGTTTTCCTAAGACAGAAAGACAGTGGTGTATAATTATCAACAGAGCCACTTTTCACTCTCAAAATTGTCCATTTGCTTAATAAAATTATATAGTCACACTAATAATGGGCTTTCATAATCCCCATACCTGGAGGATATGAGAAATATTAATAAATTAATGTTAACACCTGAGAGAAAAAAATGTCTTGGCTCCCTATGAAATCCTAAAGAAGTCTGATCGCAGTCTTCTCCACCACTCATGCTCACCTTATTTCTCCATGTTCCCCTTACTCAGCCATCAAGCGAGCTAATCCTCAGGTCTCCCCTACCTGCCACTGCAATAACCACACATCATCTCACAATGATATTGTTGCTGTGCTCAGTTTTACATTTGATTCCCATTGCCCAGATGTTCCTCTTCCCATACCCTTCCCCATGGTGGATTATGAATCAGACCAACATCCTCCAAACAGCTGACCATGAGCAGCCTTCCCTCATCTGTTCACTCTCCTGCTAGCCCTCCCTCAATTCTTGCAACCTCTTCGTCCAATAATAATAGGTCTTTTCTTTGTGTATTTCCCAGAACTCCTGCAAATAGATGTTCTTCCTCCCTAAGTAAAGTATAAGGTCCTTATGGGTAAATGCCCCACTTTCTCATTCTTTGGTATTGCCCAGTGCAGCTATTGTTCTGTACATGGTAGGTCTGTAAAGGCTGATTAAACCACCCACATTAGTAACTGCAGCCACAGAGAAACACATTTCTCTAACGGGCGATGCTTCAGCATTATGGATAATACTTCGTGAGGCAGGTGTTCCCTGCCCACTCACCCCATGTTATTTTAGCTCCATAAAGCCTATGCCTACAAATCTCTAAATGGATTTTAACAATGCAGGCAAAGTTGCATTGAGCCCCAGTTGGGGTCTGTGCGAAGTGGTTACTGAGGTTGTTTTTTTCCATTGCTTATCACTAAGCGAATGGACTCCTAATACCACCATTCTAGATTCTACCAGTTCCGACAGAACTGAAATCTCTATGCTAATTACTACTGCTTTTCCTTTATGGAAAAAAGAGAAAATGTTTGTTTAAAGTTTCATTTATCCTCCATTTACCTAAATTTGCCTTATTGCACACCTTTTAAATCCAGACTTGTGGGTGTTTATGCTTAAAGCTGAGGCTACACTGCATAATTGGGACAACTTGAAAATTCAGAGAATACTCCCAGAGAGCACTGCACACCAGATTTTATTTCTGCCAAGAAACAAATAGAAGGTTTAGAACTATCTAAGAGGATGTGGCAGTTCTTAACATTCATCACTGTCCCTCAAGACTGCATACACAGATTCACAGAAAAATACCTTTTCTCTCCACTCCCTTTCAGCTGTTACCTTCCCTGTTCTCCTGTTACATTATTTACACATCGGCATAAGAAATATATCATTTACAAGCCTTACCTCAGAGTGGCAACCAACCACCAAACTTTTACTGGATAACATATTTTTTCTACTTGATATCCCCCTCAAACACATTGAATTGCAGTGTTTCTACTTTGTTTAAGCTAATCAACTCATATTAACCTGTTTCCTCCATCTGTTTTAAATACTCACTGGATAAAGCTTGAAATAATTTATATTTTGCAACAATGCCCCTTAGACAAGTTTAAGGAAGCCCTTTGATTACTCTAACCCACCCCAGCATCATGGAAAACAGAATTATACACACAGGTAACATTTCACATTCAGAACGCCCACTGCCCTTCTAAGTAAGGAGTGCTCCTGATTGGATACACACACATGCATTGGCCGTTTGGCTCAACTCCTTATTTCAGAGAGGACTTGTATAACCCTCCCAATGAAAACTACCATGTGGCATTATTACAAAGTCATTAGATGTCATGAGTTTCTGGAAATCCCAAATGATATAAATGTTTACAAGAACCAAAAAGTTTTTTGACATCTTTAAAAAAGCTTTTGATTTTTGACCCCCAGGCAGCATTTTGTGCCATTGTGATTGGAACCTAATGGCTAAAGTGAAACAGTGCTGTCGGTCATTTACAGCATTAATGAAAATGTACATTGGACAGTTTACTATGTGTAAATACAAATAAAATTGTTTTTTTAGAGAAACGCATCTGGATAAGGGTGGCTTGCTTGAAAAATTCTCTGGGCTATCCATCATGTCGGAGTAATTATCTCACTCCTTTAACTTTACCCAAGGAGACCTGGGGCAAAGATCTTCACACAGCGATTCTGGAGGTTTGGGAAAGCAGGACTCATTAGGCTAAAGAACAGGGGAATTACTATCCTGCCAGCAATGGAACACCTCTTTGGCTACCACCTCACCTGTAACTTGATCCAATCCAAAACTCAGCTAAGCTTTCCAAATCAATCTCCTGCTATTTTAATTCATAGCACACTGTACTAAATGGCTGGGGCTTTCAAAAGCAGGTGCTACATATATAGAGGGAAATTCATACCTTCCATTGCCTCTCAAAATCCGTTATGCTAAACTCACCAAATACATTAGAAAATGTTCCATGTTTTATTCCTTGTGTTTTTAAAACTGCACTAGTCAATTTGCTGAATTGTCTAGCCACCTTCTTACCAAACACAATTTAGCTCATTCATATCTGGACTAGTATTACAGTTCTTGTAAACTCTGTCCCCTCCTCCCTTTTCAGCAGACAGAACTCGTTTCGTGACCAAGAAACATAAATCACAATATTTTAATGTTCTTTTTGCTTTTTTGACATAAGCATTTGCTTTCTTATATAAGCAGATACTTTTGTATATCTACCAAACCCAAAATAAAGTTAAATGGCAAAAATAAGTATTTCTGGAAACCTATAGAAATTTTAATTAAATGAGACAGGTTCAACAAATGTCAAGAAAGGTGGACTCCTTACTTTTATAATTCAAGTTTCTATTTTGTATGAATATATGCTGCATTTTCTGATTGAAACTGCTGTTCTGTCTAATGAAACTTGTGGTTTTCTGTACCTGCTTTTTACATTTGAAATCAAACTTTCATAAAGTGTGCTTGAGTGTACCCTTTCTGTTAGGGATTTGATTAAAATATTCTAGCTGTTTCATTAATTTCTCTTTATGTGCCTCAAGTATGTGATGTTATGTCTTTGCTATTTCAAAAACTATCTGTGGACCAAATCCATGAATCTTGGAGACTGTGATTTATACACATGGAAGAAATAGATTTTCCCCTAAGCAGTGAATCTGTGATTACGAAACTGTTCCTCATCCTCTGATTCCTCTTACCCTTCATGATCTTTTTTTCTACTCTTAATCATTCATTGAGTGATCATGTATTCTTGTAAAATGAAATCAACTTACATGCAATCAGGTATGGACACAAGACACTCTTGTGCCCTTAATTTCAGGACTCACAGATGCCCTAGCAGTCACAGGACTGTATTTCACTCAACAGCTGTGTTAATGATGTGGCTTTGCTATTAAATTAGTTGCTGTTCAATGTACTTTGCACTAGAAGATTTTCAATGTTGCAGCAAATGAAAGAAAGAAACACATTTGAAGGCTGATGTCAAAAACCATCAGCTACAACCACAAAGCCGTTGTGCAGCTTCTAAAATGTAGTTACTGCTGTAAATATGTACTATTTCTGTTAGCTTGTTTATTCCTAAAACACAAATAAAACTTTTTTATTAAAAATGTCTACATATAAAAAGCTTACTTTGTACTATGTTTAAAAACATGTGAGAGTTCAGACATATCTTTTTATAATCTAAAATGTTTAAAATTATGAATCTATCATTTGAGAGCTTTTATTGTAAAATTTAATACAAAGCAAAATCCCTTTTCTTTGGAAGAAATTCTCTGCAGTATTATTCAACAATAGGGGAAAATACCAGCATTTTTCCAGGAGCTTATTTCTGTACCACTTTGACATTAAAAAATATATATACATTTGCAATATATATTACAAATGTAATATGTAATATATATAATTTTAAATAATACACCTGACATTTTAACATCTGGAGTTTATATATTAGGAAAAAATGAGGTCCTCTTGTATTAAAAAATTCCTAAAACAGACTTTAATAGCATCCATTTGTGAGGTGCATTATGTCAAACTTCTTTTAAAATCTTCACTGTAACTATGAGTTGGCCTATTTGTCAGTCTTTCTATAATAGTTTAAAAGCTTCCAACCTCTAAACTCATTCTCTCCCTTCAGAAATATGGTGACAATAAAATAATTAACAGATTAAAGGTGTGAAGCTTATTTATCCATTAATTAGTTGCTAGTATACAATAACCTTTCAGTAAGAGTCTGAATTCCAGCGTAAGAACTAACATCCATCCAGTGAAATTACTGGGAATCTGCACTTTCTCAGCCATTCTCTGGCCTGCAAAGTGACCAGGAGTTTTAGAGATGTCCTCCACTGGTTACTGTTTCTAAAAACCACGTTACACAATTGGAGAAATAAATGGCCATCAGTTCCATTTAAATTAGAAAAAGAACAAACGTATCTGTAGCATGTTGAGGGGTAGCTGTAAGGATTACAGATAATAAGAAGCTAACACAAGGTACGTGAGTATCTGCGTTGCCACTACTACCGGCCAAGGATGTGGGAAAATTGAAACCCTTATGCACTGTTGATGGGAATGTACAATGGTGTAGTCAATATGGAAAACAGTATAGAGGTTCCTCAGAAATGTAAAAAGAGAGCTACCATATAGTCCCACTGTCCCACCTCCAAATATTCATCCAAAAGAATTTAAAATAGGACTGTGAAGAGATATTTGCACACCTATGCTCCTTACAGCATTAGCCACAACAGCCGAGAAGTGGAAACAACTTAAATGTCCGTTGATGGAATAACGGATACAGAAAATGTATGCACATACAATGGCCTACCATTCAGTCCTAGCAAAGGAAACCCTACCATGTGAGATCAGTGATCTTCAACCCTTTTCATCTCGTGGCACACGTAAACTAAGTACTAAAATTCTGCAGCATGCCGAAAAACATATTTTTTGCTGATCTGACAAAAAATAGGTATGATTTTGATTCATTCACACTGAATGGCTATTATTGTGTCAGCCGTTTCGTTTTTTATAGTTGATAATCCAAGAGAAAAGTCCCCGACTGGCCAGGAATTGAAAGCTTTAAAAACACTTGCAGCACGCCAGTGTGCCTCTTGCAGTACACTGAATGGAAACCACTGCGGTAAACCACGAATGGCCCTCGAGGACATCACGGTAAGTGAAATAAGCTAGTTAAAGATGGAAAAATACCGCATGATTCCACTGACAACTCGCCAAACTCCTGGAGCGGAGATCAGAATGGTGAGTGTCGGTGGCTAGGGACTGGGAACTGAAGAGCTGCCGCTGGAAGCGTAGACTTTCAGTGACGCGAGACGAGAAAGTCCGGGAGATCTGCTGTGCAACAGTGTGCATAGTTAATGCTGTACCGAATACGAAAAGGTTTATTAAGAGAGTAGAGTTCATGTTAGGTGTTCCGGGGGATGGGTTGCCACAATTAAAAAAAAAAAAAGAAATGCAAAGTGGTACAGTGACTTCAAAAAAGTTTGGATGTTTCTTACAAAGCTAAACTTATTATGCAATGTGATCCAGCAATCACACTGCTACGTGTTACTCAGTTGATTTGAAAACGTGTCCCCATAAACCCTGCCAGTGAGTGTTCACAGCAGCTTTATTCATAATTGACACTAAGTGACCACCACTGATGTCCTTCAATACGTGAATGGATACATGAACTGAGAGACAGCTATACAATGAAGTTTTATTCAGAGATAAAAAAGTAAATGAGTTACCAGGCCACGAAAAAACATGGAAGAAACGTAAATGCATATTGCTAAGTGCAAGAAGCCAGTCAAAAAACACTCCATGCTGTAGGACCCCAATTATATGCCATTCTGGAAAAGGCAAAGCTATTTAGACATTTTTTAAAAATCGCCGGTGGTCGGTCTGGGGTTCAGAGGAAGCTGTAAGGGGTGAATGGGGAAAACACAGGGGACCTTCCGGGTACTGGACTATTCCACACAGTGGATACGCGGCATCAGGCATCTGTCAGACTCGGCACTGCTCCACGCAGAGTGAAGCTTAATGTGCACATTTAAAACTCATTTAAGAGTCACGGCAGCCCAGCAAGGAGTACATATTGTGGTAAAAAAAAAAAAAAAAAAAAAAACGAATGGTCTTACAAATACCTAAAACCACCTCACTGAAGGGAGTCGAGGGAAAAGGTGCTGAGCTAAGTAACTTTGGAAATGAGTGCAGTCTATAAAAGGGAAAGGAAAGGGAAATGCACTCAAGTCCTTCCAGAAGGTCAAGTTGTTAGTCCCATGGGGTACAGATTACCAACTCCGATACTGCTGAATGTATCCTGGAATGGAAAGACTGAGTAAATCAGTGGTGGGGGGTGGGGGTGAGGTTTCTCATGGCTGGAACTCAAATTTACAGATACCGGAGGGGAGCAGACTAGAATGGTCGTGTGGCAATGGATTCGAGTTGGAGACATCAGGATGAACTCATGTGTAGTTTAATATATAGATGGTTATATAAACAAGTATTTATAGATATGTGTATGCACACAGGGTAGTTTACACATACACAATTTTGATTCTGTCAGCTGACAGGGCCTTAGAAAAACAATGCCCCAATAGCAGTGAACACACCTAGCTTGATATCTAATACCATTCTTTAGTAAAATGAACCAGGGTATCTTGGAGAAATAGCTGATTCTCAGACTGGACAGAAAATCAGACCACTTGGACTGGCTACACAGAATGACCTCCTTCCAAAGAGTACACTATAGAAAAAGGAGAAGTAAGAGAGTAACTTTACAGTGAAAAACACCTATCAAACACTACCTCCACCAAGTCATTAAAGTCAACATCATCATAAATCCCGTTAACAGTAGGGACCCTTGACATGATGTAATGTAACTGGCCGTTCACCTCTGTGGTCTTCCTACCCAAAACCCATGACCCCAATCTGAACATGAGGAAAACATTATATTCCAACAGAGGAACATCTTAAAAAAGATCTCACCCACACTCCCCAAAACCGTCAAGGTCATTAAAAACAAGGAAAGCCTGGGAAACTATCACAGCAAAGGAAGCATAAGGAGACCTGACAACTAAATATGATATGGAATTCTGGAACAGAAAAATGACATAGGTAAAAACTTAGGAAGTCTGAATAAACTGTGAAAATTAGTTGAAAATAATGTATTGATAGTAAGTCATTAATTATAACACATGTACCACACTAATATAAGACATTAGTAATCTGGGAAACTGCACATGTAGTACACAGGATCTCACTGTACCATGCACTCAATATTTTTGTAAACCTAAAACTGCTCTAAAAAAATAAAGTCTATTTACAGAAAAAGACAAACTACAGATTGGAAAAAAAAATACAAGACAAATATATGACAATGACTGTATCCAGGTCATATAAAGAATGTCCAAAACTCAGTAAGAAAACAATCTAATTTAAAAATAGACAACAGACCAAAACAAACACTTCGCCGAAGACACACAGATGGCAGGGAGCACCTGAAAAGATGCTCAGTGTCGTTAGTCCTTGTTAAAGCCACAAGGGGATACCACGACACACGCACCTGTTAGAACAGCTGAAATGAAGAAGACTGACTACACTAAGTGCTGACAGGGAAGTGGAGGTGGAACTCCCACAGACTGTGGAATGGAACGTACAATGGTAAAATCACTTTGGAAAAGTATGGCATCTTCTTGAACAGATTACATAAACCTACCATATCATCCAGCCATTTTGCTCCTCACTATTATTCGTAGGAAAGCGTATGTCCATATAAAGACAGACACAAGTGTGCAGCATTCAGTGTACTGTATGAGCCAAAAATTTAAAAAACCCAAATATCTATTAATAGGTGGATAAACAAACCATGATAGAATTCTACAACAGAAAACTTCTCAACAATGCCAGGGATTGAACTATTGTTATGTGTAACAACAGGAATTCAAAATAATGCTGAAAGGAGTCAAATTACAAAAAAGAAAAAGAGATCCCATTTAATAACTCTTAAAAATGTGGACAAGTCATTATGTTTTGTGGCAGGAAGCAGATCTGGGGCCGAGGGGGTGGGCACAGGAGTGGAGATTACAAAGGAATAAAAAGACACTGTCAGGGTGACTGATATGCTCCCCACCTTGATTGAGGTATTGCTTTCCTGGGTTTACATATGGGTATATCAAAATTTATCAGATTGTAAACTTTAAATATGTACAGTTTATAGTACATCAGTCAGATTTCAATAAAGTGTTTAAATATGCTAATACAGTGAGAGGGGACTAAGAAAGAACAAGACTTTTTCCTTCTCAGAAGAAGTACTGTGTGGAGGGCTGAAATTCAGAACGGCCCCACGTCGGCATTACTCAGTGCTGTTACTGGTCCATAATGACATAAGGAACTTGCACAAGAAGAAAAATCAACTACCCCCCTAAGCACACTATTTAGTTCAGCCAGTATTTTTTTCCATAACCATAATTGCTCAGTGAAGAAAGCCGCATATTGATGAATATCCAGCACCAGCTCCTCATCTGTTTGACCTATAATGAAGTCCCTGGGCTGGCATCAGTCTACAGGCACATTTTGAGAGCACCATCTAGATCACACTTGGATATATTTTAACCTCTCTAAGCCCGTCCTCCTCTGTATGAGAATAGTAATAGCTGCTCTAGACACTTCATATAATGGTCTGATGCTCTAATAAGCTACAAAGTTTGCAAACAGCAGGTACCAATTAATTACATATCATTGAGTTAGGTAGACAGTTATTTGAAATAAAGCAATATAATAAAAGTGTACTTTTTATTTGTTCAGAATGCTTATCTCTAAACTTGACTGAAATTAAAAATGATGTTTGCCAATAAACATCCAAAACTTAAATTCAACATTAAGAGTTTATAACAAAAATTGAAATATATATATAATCTTAACTGACATTTTAATAGTAATATATACATTATACAATGACATATACTCTTTCTATAAGCTCATATTCTCCCAATCAGAAATAAAAAGTAGCAGTGTTATTACACTTTTCCTATGGTTTAGTATAAGATTTGTTTCTAGAATTCATAAACTCAAAATTGTTCACAGACTTATTCTTTCTTATTCATGTCTGAAGAGCTTTTCTCTAAGAATTTTTACATTTTATAATCTTTCCTTTGAAATACCAGTAAGATATGGAATCTCCTGAGTTACACATGCAGCTTATATATACCTTAAAAGTTATTTTTTTAGGTATCACAAATTAGTTATTTATATCCATAATACATATCCTTGATATTCACATACTTCTTTAAGCAAGATTCAAGTTTATTTGTGTTTTGTATATTTATATTACTTTAGAGCCTATTTTTAGTTTTCAGTAAAACTTTATACCTATAAAGATCTCTCAAATATTTAGTAAGCAAAGCATAAGAGTCATTATGAAAATATAAACTGCTATTATAGTTTTTTATCTTTCATTTTTTATGCATTTCCTGTCAACCATGTAATTTCCTGTTCTTCAGGAAAGTTGATAAATTTTAATCTTTGTAATCTCAATATGGCTGCTCTCTCAGCCTGGCGTATAGTATATTGCAGGTTTTCTGAACACACAGTATTCACTCTGATATCAGTTGTAGCAGTGTAATCTGATAATGTTGGTATTCACCATTTCCAGTTATTTCAACTGCAGGATGACCTTAAAAACAAAGGGGGAAGGGGAGAATCAGTTCATACCAGAATGATGTCAGTGTCTGCTGAATGAAATGCTTTGCAATCTCTAAAGTGCCTGGAGAGCTAATAACAAGTGTACCACTCCGTGACTTATGGCGCATGCCTGCAAGGATCCATGGTTCAGAACCATTTCACGTTTATACCAGGCTCCATCACACGTCCCACCAGACACTGAGCCCCACCCAGAGGCACGCCAGCACCAGTTTGGTGACTAGGCATGTGGACCAGGCATCAAGGCGCCAACACAGCTAAGCAACTGCACAGTATGGAGGGAAGCTAAAGTAGAGTGGGGTTTAAAAGAGTCAGAGCCAAGAAGACTGGTTAGCAAGAGACTGGTGAGAAAAACTAATCACTGAGACCTGATCACTAGAGAGAATGCTGAGCAACAATGAATGGAGCATACATAACAGAGATAACTGTTCTTGCTTCTTCCTCACAGCAGCGGTTCCTACTGTTTAAGTATTATTTTTCTTATTAATGAAACACTAGTAAGGGTTACTGTTATTTAGCCATTCCTTTGTACATGTAAAGATTTCTAGTCCTTCATTAATTCTGTCTTATCTCAACCTGATTTTGTCATAACTTCAAGGTATATTTTGTCTCTTGTAGTTAAAGCAATTTTCTATTATTTGTGTAGTTAAATAAGACACTCTTTTCTTCAAGACTATTCTATTTTTTAATCAGAAAAATACTTTATAATTAACTAAAATCATAGCCTCAAGGTGAAAAATTAATTTTTATCATTAATGTGCACTGGAGCAAAACAAATCTAGCTGTTAGAACAGCACTATTATTCTTTCAAAAATTAACACTTGATAAATTATACTCAAAACAAGTAATTAAAATTACAAGTTATAATTAATTTAATGTCTCAATCTAAAGAAGTAGAACATAACAAAGTATTTTCTGTGCTTGACATAAAATATCAGGAAGGAAAGAAATTAAAAGTAAACTATGACTTTTTCTTACATGGCTCTAATGGTATCAATCAAAACTTAAACATTTTAAACCACATAAAAAATTAAAACAAATACCTTATTAGCTGCTTCCAAGGAATTTATTAGATTTTGCAGCTCTTCTTTACTCATTTCAATAGAATAGGGTTTGACTTCACCATTTTCTTTTACGTCAAGATGAAGGTTTAAAAGTGGCATCTGTAATGTAGCAATCTTGTCACTGGAAAGTGCAAGCTATTTAAAATGAGAAAAATAGTAATTAATAAATGTTAAACAGGACTCTATTAGATATGCATCAGAGCTTATGAATAATACATTTAAAAAATACTCCTGTTTGCTGTCAAGTACAGGGAAAGGTAGAAGAAATAAAAAACTTAAACCCATGCCAAACCAGTATACCTCCGAAGAAGAGAAAGAGTGAATAAAAGAGAAAACGTAGGCTAGGAAAGACAGACAAGCAGTCAACAGAAGCCCACAGCTAAAGCAGCTTTATGGCTGGGAAGTACATACATATACATCCAATGGGTCTCAGATATGTATGAACCCCACTAACCAGACTCTCCTTTAGAAATGTTTTTAAATGCTATTTTCAAACACACACTGTAAATGTTTCCCTGGAGGTAGAATCATATTTACCGACCTTGGGAAGACTAAGAAGTCTAGAAAGTTCTAGCCAAAAATACATGTTAAATACATACATATGGCTTCACTGTTTATAACACCTTATGATTTACAGCCTCAATTAATTAAACTTATCATTATAAAGTTATTATACACTGTTTGAATATTTACAGTATACTGATTGTCCAGTTAATACAAAAGATATAATTTTAATTAACTGTGATATCTTTATGGGACACTGTATTATCAAAATAACAGAAACTTTAGGTGTATAATATAAAAAATAAATATTTCTTTCTATTCAAAAACTGAAATAAAAAGTCATAAATAGATTCTTACCTTTAACTGCCAATCAAAATCCTGTAGCTGTGCAGAGGAAATATCAACTATTTCTCCTAACAAAGCCTGTTTAATTTCACCTTTTCTACTTTTTAAGCATTTCATCACAGCTTCTTGATGAAATGAGTTCAACTCATTCAATTGCTGAGATATCTATAGAAATAAAAATAAATGGTTATAAAGTTAAGTGAAAGGGCTTTTCTGTTTAAAATATAAACACATAGCTCTACTCTCCTTTCACATACTGCTTAAAATGGTAGTAAATTAGGGAAAAAAAGAAATACTTCTGTCACTATGAAAAGAATAAGATGAGAATGCATAACCAGCAAACTACAGGTTTAAACAAATTTTTTGCCAAAAAAAAAAAGTAAAATAAGCCCTGGCTGGCATAGTTGTGGATTGAGTGCGGGCTGCGGACCAAAGTGTCGCAGGTTCGATTCCTCGTCAGAGTACATGCCTGGATTGCAGGCCATGACTCCCAGTAACCGCACATTGATGTTTCTCTCTCTCTATCTCCCTCCCTTTCCTCTCCAAAAATAAATAAATAAAATCTTAAAAAAAAAAAGTAAAAAAAAAGGGCTGACTGGTGAAAAAAAGTATGAAAATGAACACTTCTGGGGGCCACTAAAACAAAGCTGGAACAGCTATATTAGTATCTCAAACAATGCAGCCTTTAAGGCAAGAATATTACAAATGCAATTCAATGGAAGGATACCCCGTGACCCTGCAATTTCACTTCAAGATTATCCTAGAAGAGCAGGCCCTCCCAGGTACCAGGAGACACATATAAAATGTAGCAGCCCTGTCCACAGTAATGAAAGAGGCCACACCCTAACTGTTCGTCAGTAGAAGGGCAGGAAAGTAAGTCCTCTAATTCGTATCATCAAATACTGTATGGAGCTAAAATATATAAACTACATCTACATTTATCAATACTTATGAATCTAAAATAATGTTACATTAGAAATTACAAATGGATACATGTTATCATTTACAAGTTACACAGTGAAATGGCTCAAATCATTGTAAACACTGCAAACATTCATACAACACAGAACCCAAAACACGCATGCCAACTTCACAAGTGGTGTGATCTCTAGGGGGAGGGCACCATACCCCGGTGGTATGTAGATGTATCTGTAATGCCTTGTTTCTAGAACACAGACACACAAAACTGAAATACATAAAGCAAAATGTTAGCAACTGTTTAACTGTGGTAATGGAAATATAAGTGTCAACTATTTAAATTCTGGTTTTCTTCTATATCAGTTAAAGTTTTCACAAGTTAAAAAATACAAACAACCAAAATCAAAACTACAAAAACCCAGACTTCCAAAATCAGACTTTCTAATTACAATAGTCAGGTTTTTCTTAGTGGATATTTACTAATGATGGCTTTTATATTATATGTGCCCTAGTGATCAACTTAATAAAAACTCTGAATACTAATTATTTATTATAACATATAGAAATTTACAGTAAAGTTACCTCTTCATCAGATAAATTTTTACCAACTACAGCTTTGAAAAATTTGGTAATATCTTCTAGAACATGCATCCATTCTGTAGAATCCCACACACTCTGATAATCCTGGTAGAGAGGATAAATTCGGCCACAAATGCCATCAACTATTTTGTGAAGAAGCTAGAGAGGGAAAAAAAGGAAGAAATGCATTATGAATAAAATTATAAAACAGATTTATCTCCCCTGTAGCAAACAAGTGTTGTTGGGACAAGCTCATGTTATCTGAAAGAGCAGCTGAAGTTGAAATGCAAATAATTTTGATTTTTTTATTATTTAAAAATTAAAACTTCACTTTTGTGAAGTTCTTTTTTAAAAAAACGTTAAAAAAGTATTTTTAAAGCCTATTATTTTGTCCATGTTCAGAAGCTAAAAAATTATATGATACACTGTCGTCCTTTCAATGTTACCAAAAGGAAGATGTAAGTATAAAAGCTTCATCTTGGAATTCCTTAAGACATCATATTTATACCAGTGACAAAGTCTGTACTGCAGATCTACAAGCGTCCTTTTCCCCCGCCTCCATCTATCACAACATTCATACTCGCTTCTTTTGGTCCACTCCAAGAAAGCCCTCATTCTCTTTCTTTTCCTTTGTTTACATTCCTTTTTCTCTATCCAACCTTAATATCAGCAATGGAAATCCTAACACTTACATAATTGAACATAGTAATGAAGACTGTAGGTTTTAGAATGAAACTGGCTAGCCTGAATCCTAGTTCTACAGCTTAACTAGTTTTGTCAAATTATGCAAAAGTTCTATGCCTCTGTTTCCCCATGTGTAAAATGAGGATAATATCAACACACTCATAATGCTGTTGTAAGGATTAAATAATACATGCAAATCACTTGGCACATTGATGGCTTATACAAGGCACTTAAACATTGCTAGCCTTTGTTATCATTCTACTTATTATTATTATTATTAATTATCACTGTTTACTACTACTGTTACTACTCCTCCGCCTCCTCAAACAATGTTCTGTGTCTTTAACATATATTAACTGAGTACCTACCATGACTGCACTATTCTAGGCAAATTATTAACATGGTACACTTTTCCAGGGGATAGTTGTCTTGTAAGAAGAGTAGTTCAGCCCAATTAACTTGGAAATGCATTTTAGCAGCAAGTCTCTCAACTACCCTGGGTCACATTCCACTTCCTTTTAAGCAATAACTCCTTCTCTTTAACACCACACATATCAGAATGGAGATGCGCAACTGATGACCCGGCTTCCAAAAGATGTCTCATGGACTATATGAATTTCTTCATTTACAAGATCAGAGAAAAGACTTAAGATGTTTTCTCTTGATCCTGGTAGAAATTAAAAAGTTAATTCCCTCTATCCCCCTTCCCCACCATTTTCCCCATTGTAAATGGAACAGAGGAAAAAGGAAGGCCAAAATTTGGAATTTATAAAAGCTACCTACGACATACCCCTCTATCACATTATGTAGGCTAAGTGCCCACGCCCACCCTTCACCCATAGTAAATGGAACAGAACTGGGACTTAAGCAAGGCTGCCTGTCATTGACACTGAAGGTCAGCCTACCAAAGCTTGGGATCCAGATGACTGCCCCAATGATAAAGCTGAGTTTATGTACATTAATTGATTCCTTCCCTCAACAAACACTGATTTAAGAACCACCCTGAGCAAGACACAATTCTCAAGAATTAGGGATATAACAGAAGTATCTACCCTGAGGGAGTTCACAATAAGAGAGAGACCACAGGCAAAAGGACCAGTTAAGGAGTGTTCAAGGAAGACTTCACAAGGCCTAAGTTGTTTAGAACACAGATGGTGTGAGTAAACATATTAACATACTAATTACAATACCCAGTGTCAGTCAACAGTCTGAACTCAGTGTGCACACAGAATCTCAAATCTCAAAACAAATGTTCAAACTCCATAATGCATACATTGCTTTCTTTCATGGGTTGGCAAACTTTCCTCAGGTCTAATACTTGGGGCATTATGGTTTTTTTTTCTTTGCTTGAAACGTCAAGGGGAAAAAAAATCTCTCAGTCAGATTTTCCTATTATAGCAACCATTGGGTTTTCTTCCCTTCACAGTTTCCAGTAAAGACACCTTTATATGTACTTACCACATTTCCGCATTTCTTACATTTTTCAAACTCACTAAAATGTTGCTGCTGCCAAAAACACTTCGAAATGCAAGTGCCTTTGGTAGTGAGACTACACGCAGCAGCCTGGTTCCTATTCACTTGTCTAGCTTTCTCCCTCCTCTGCTTCTCACAATGAATTGCAGCCTCTGGGAATGACAGCAGGTTTTCAAGGGTGGGGGTTGGGGGTGGCTTTCTCCTTCTGGCCTCTGTAGCTGCCAACTCCTCTGTCTGAAACATTCTCTTTCCTCTAGCCTGCCTGATTCTTAATCATCCCTTAGAATTAATCCTAGAAACAAATCTAGGTGTTCCTGCTCTGAAAAACCTTCCCTTGCCCCTTCAAATCTGTGCTGCTACCCCTCCCACAAACTCATTACTGGATAACTCTTGGTTCCCTCACTAGGCAGGGAGCTCCACGGGCTGTGTCTCATTCACCGTTTTACCTTATCCCACCAGGGCACTCGGCACACGGTGGACGCCAACGAAAAGCTGCCTGAACAAATGAATGGGGCTTTTTGCAGATCCTCAACAAGCCAGGTTCTTCTTAGACTGGCGATGCCAAGTGAATATAACACCTCTAGCGGGAAAGGCCACCTTGGAACACGCTGCCAAGTTAAGGCGCCCAGTTACTGGAAGCACTTCCCATTATTTTTTTCCTGTCTCCCTCAAGGGGACGATACGCCTCCGTAGGCCACCACTGCATCCCAGCACCCAGCACTGTGCCTAGAGCATAGGTCGCGTTCGGGAGCTAAGTGCTGAATGAATGAATGAGAGGTAGGCGAGAAGCTGCAAACTACCGGCTCCAGTACCTAAACCTGCAGAGACAACGCGGAGGCTCCGCCCCCCCCCCGCCCCCCCAGCCCTGGGTCACTTGGTCCGGAGCCAGGCGAAGGAGCGGACTGCCCCCGCTACCCCAACCAGGGTGCGGCGCGGCCCGGCGGAGTCTGCGCTCAAAGCCCCTTAAGGGGCAACTCCACGCCGGGGCACGGAGGTGGCGCCCCAAAGCTCAGCCTCCACAGCCCTCCGGGAAAAGCAGGGGGCCGATCCCCACCCCTCCCCGAAGTCACGCCCCTTACCCGCCCTTTCCTGGGCTGCGAGGTGGGCCCCGCGAAGGCGTGTGTTTGCACCGGCCTGACCCGCAGGCCCGGCGATTCCGGAAACCCGACCCCGCGCTGCCGCCCCCTGCGCCCTCCTCACCCGTGGGGCCTGCTCGGCTGGAAGCTTCTGCAGCCGCCGCAGAGGGGTCCCCTCTTCCGGCTCCATCCCGGAGCGAATTTGGGACCTGGGTCCAGAGGCCCGGTGGGGGTCGCTCCTCCCCCACGTGACTCGGAGGGGCGGAGACGATGGAGCTCTTCTGCGCATGCGCAGAAATACAGCCAATCATTTTCTTATAAGAATATTTTTCTGCCTGGTGCGGCAGTTCTTAAACACCGTTGTATCATTACTTTGGAGGCAAATCTGCGAATTTCTCAAAGCAGTTTCAACTTTGTTCAGAGTTCTGCTGAACTTTTTCCGCACTCTTTGGAAAGCCATCTAATAAGGGTAACCATATTTGGGGTGTACCGAGGGCCACTGTCGCGGAGATGTGACATATATCTTTTACTAAAGTTTCCTGATTTGGAAGGGGAATTAAAGGTTTATTGTGAGAAAGATTCTTGGTATAGATTATTTTAAGAAGGTACCATTTTCATCTCCATTTCCAAGTAACAGATAAAAGAGAAGTCATTTAGGTTTGTCATATTTAGCAAGTAAAATTTCTGGGTGCCCAGTTAGATAAGAAATTTCTGATAAACAAGGGATAACATTTTGTTATAAGTGTGCCGTAATGATTCCATGGGGCGTACTTGTTATTCAAAAAAAGTACTGGTTGTTTATCTGAAACGCAAATCTAGCTGGGTGTCCTGTTTTCTGTCAATCCTAAAAGTCACTTTCCCTAGCTAAGAGGCACATCCTGAAGTTAAAATCCCTCAGACTCTAGAGCCACACTCAAGGCTGGACTAACCCTAAAACCCAAACAGCTTTCCTGTCATTTCTCTCGAGATTACAGTTATTCCCTTAAGTGGTGCTGGAGAATTCAGCAGTGGGAAGATAGTCCCTGCCACCCAGAAGTGCACAATAAGGAGACAGAAACAGAATCTACGATCTACGATCTAATAGCAATTTAATTTTTAAAACGTGGTGCAAAGTGATGAAACATACCACAGAGGAGAAATTAGTTATTTTAGTCTGTTGTCTACACAGAGAAAAATTACTCATTAGTGGCATCCCTTAAGATACAGCTTAAACACCCTTTCTCTACTCTCTGCCCCACCTCATAGAGGTGAAAGCAATCTCTCCCTCCTCTGAATTTTTATGACTGTCACTCAAAATATGTATCACTTTCTAGTTCTTAATATAGGCATACATGTACAACACATGTTGTTCTACTGAAACATACTTGTCTTAAGACACTTTGACTTTGTGCATGGGAAGTCCCCAAGTAATACTAAATAAATAAAGAGGAATCTGAAAAACCACCTAATCTATGTCTATTAATAAGTCTACCAAAGGCAGGGCCTGTTTTCTAAGACAAAATTAATTTTATATATTCTAATAGTCAATAAAAATATCAAGTATCAACTATATGTCAAATAATTTATATATTTTGTCTTACTAATCCTCACTATAGCCTTGTATGTTGAGTACTAACCATAAAGATGGGGAAATCAGCTTGGTGAAGTAATATCAACCTTGTCCAAGGTCACAGAGGTAGTAGTTGCAAAGTCACTGGCCTGAGTCTGGAAGTCGTGGTCTCTGCCTGGGTGTTTCACTGGCCCAGAAGAAAGGCATTGTAAGGTGACATGACTTACCTAATGCTATACCACAAGTTACTAAATAAAGCAAATAGGCACAGCAAGCAGGGCACAAGCAGGACAAAGAATTATGTCCTGATTTCTCTTTCAAACAACACTAGATACCAAGAAAAAAAATTTCCCCCTTGGAATTGGTTGCAATTAAACTTAACTTTTAACAAATATAGATGAAATTGTTCACAAGTTGAGAGAAAAGAGCTTGACATTTGACTTTTGATTAGTAAGGGGGTATTCTTATGTGTGTAATCCAAGAAGCTTTCAAATATATTTCTGTCACTTCTTGGCCTAATTATGCTAGCATTCTAGTCCCCACCTTCCAAATATTACTTATACTGATGGTTATAAACATGAAGGTAATCATCTTAAGTTCAAATCCCAACTCAGCAAATGACAATCTATGTAATGTTTTAGATGAGCTGTTTCACCTCTCTGTGTCTCTGGTTCCTCATCTGTAGTTGGTTATAATGGTAGCACAGAATTTACAGAGTCATTGTGAGTTCATACATGTAAAGTTTTTAAAATGAGTCTAATCGGGCACATAGAAAACATTATTAAGTGCCCTTCTAAGTGGCCTTCTTTCCTATTTTCTGGCCAAAAGTTAGTGGGCTCCAGAAAGCAGGGTTCTGGACAGTCTCAGCCTTGAGAGTGAGCAGCCTCTGAAACCTCTCTAGGCTGTATAGGCAATGTAGGTCAGGGATCACAGTTGGAGAGACATAGTAAGATTTTGAAAAACCTCACTGGGTATATTTGCTGAGTGGAAACGGGAATGCGAGCTGACCTTTTGCGGAATTGTTAATACGGTGTTTCTTTCTCAGGTTATTTGATTAGGTTTTGTTTTGTTTTGTTTTGTTTTGTTTTGTTTTGTTTTGTTTTGTTTTGTGGTGGAAGGAGGAAGGAAGGAGGAGTTCTGTGCACCATGCCCCGGGAAAGTCAGTCGCTCATTCTTTAACAACTATTGGTTAAACATCTACCACCCATTAGGCTTTAGGACTGCAAGCAGAGAACATTAACTTCCTGTCTAGTTGTGTCTGGCAGGGAGTGGTCCTCAGATAATGAACAAATAAACAATTAAGATAATGTTAGCTATTGAGAAGTATCTTGAAGAAATGAAACAGGGTAATGTAAGAGGAACGGATAGTAGAAAGGTACTTTAGGTTGGTCGAGGGGTACAAAGGCATACAAAATGAGAAGGAGACATTAAGGCAAACATCTGGGGAAAGAAGAGTTGCTAGTAGAGTATAGAGGGGCTGAAGCAGGAGAAAACCGGCCTTATCCAAGACAACAGCCAAATGGCCTGTGTGGTCGAACCGTAGCGAGCAAAGCACGAGACACAGGGATGAGTACTGGTAATATCAGGGGGCCGTTTGTCAAGTTTATGATTGTCCAACCACCGTGCTGTGCACCTGAAACCAATACAAAATAGTATGGAATGTAACTGTAATTGAAACAAGTTTTTAAAGATTAAAAAATAAAAAGATGATGTCAGAGACTTAGGCAAACGTTTTGAACTAGTTTTCATTTTTAACTGGTTATACTAAGGAAAACAGATTTTCTTTGGAAAACCAGATCTTGGGGGCAAGAGTAAAAGTAGGAGAACCACTCTGGAGGATATTCCAGACTAATCCTAACTAATATAGGCATTAAACTTCATATGACCTTATTGGCATCCACAAACTATAGAATTCTAGGGGCTCAGATGACAGCTAGTGGCAGTGGGGACCACATACAAATGGAAAGACTCAAAACGTATTTTGAAGCTAAGATCTACAGAATCATGTTAGGTTGAATGCTTTTGTAAGAGACAGAGATGGAGATGTAAAGTTCAGACTATAAGAGAAGACAAAGCATGTGTTCCCTGATTTAGCACGTGATTTTAGGCCCCGACTGAGGGGTTGAGCCATAAACTATAGCTGCCACATTGGTGAAAACTTTTGAGGAACTGTGTGGTAGAGTGTTTAAGAGCACAGAAGGACCTGGGTTCTAATTCTACTTCTGCCATTTACCAACCTCATAACCTTGGCTAAATTCTTTGTATCTCAGTTTTTACTACTAAAGATGGGGATGAAACTACCACCCACCTAATAAAGTTGTGACATTCAAATGGAATAATGCATACAATGTGTTTAACATAGCACCTAGAATGTAATTTGCCCATAGTAAAAGTTTACTGTTGTTCTTAGCTACTAGCAGCAGTAGTGTGGAGTCCTGGGAACAAAGTAAGTAAAATACATTCACATGTATATAACCTATGCTAATGGGTCTGGTGAGGTGTCTTGATAAGGAAAACTAGAGAGAAATGGAGCTGATTCATCCCTGTGAACTCCCATAATCTTGAGCAGGGGAGAGCTGGGTTGTGCCAATCACTCAGGCATAAGATGGGACCTACCACAATCTGGGCATCCTGGCACAGACTGCCACTTGTACTCCAATATCTCTTCTCTCTGTTACAGGTTGAATTCTGTCCCTCCCAGAATTCATGTGAAAGTCCTAAACCCCAGTACCTCAAAACCTGACCTTGTTTGGAGACAGGGTCTTTATAGAGGTGACCAAGTTAATGTGAGGGTATTGGAATGGGCCCCAATGTAGTATGACTGGTGCCTCATTAAAAAGGGGATATTTGGCCCTGGCTGGCATAGCTCAGTGGATTGAGCTCGGGCTGCAAACCAAAGTGTCGCAGGTTCAATTCCCAGTCAGGGTACATGCCTGGGTTGCAGGCCATGACCCCCAGCAACTGCACATTGATGTTTCTCTCTCTCTCTGTATCTCCCTCCCTTCCCTCTCTAAAAATAAATAAATAAAATCTTTAAAAAACTACTAAAAAAAGGGGGAAATTTGGACACACAGATGCACACCGAAGGAAAGTGACGTAGGAGACGTAGAGAGATGGGTTCTGTCTCTAAGCTAAGGAGAGAAGCCTGGAACAGATCCTTCTCTCACAGCCATCAGAAGGAACAAGTCCTGCTAACGCCTTGATTTTTGCTTTAAAACTAGTCAAATCTCACCTGAACTCATCCTCTTCTTCCACCATCTCGTTAAATGCAACCAGTAACAACCAATGTACACTGATGACAATGCGTTTTCCAGTCCCGTTGCCTAGAACTACAGCCGCAGCATGGATTCTGCCTTTGAAATTGTTGAAAGCACTTCATAACATGAAAGCCAGCTTTCAGGCTGCTACCGACCACATGACCACCTAGTTTAGGTTCCAGTGCAACAGCCTTTCACTCATACCAACTGCTCCATTGGTCAGAGTAGGTTAACTAATTTAATGATACATCTAAAATATGCTCCCTTCAAATTATGATAAACTAATCCTCTTTTTTCATTCCAGGGGCATTTTTTTATTGTTGTTCAAGTACAGTTTTCTGCCTTTCTCACCACCCCAACCCTCCCATTTCCACGCCCCCCCCCACCCTGTTATTGTCCATGTGTCCTTTATCCAGGGATGTTTTGGGATAACAAAAGAGCAAAGTATCCTTCTCAAC